AAACTAATGTTGGGAAGGGGAGAGTCAGTCCTCAGTCTCTTTAAAGGATGTATCAACTCGCAAGATACTGATACATACATACAGGGATTTCTACCACTATCTCACTATCGTCACTCTCAACTAAACAAAGCGTCTTTCAGAACAGGAAAACCACCTCACCACTTTTTCTCTAACCTTTTCACCCCATCTCCTCCACATCCCCAGCATGTCAGTCACAGAATATACATCACTCCTTTCCAAATAATACTTCTCAATTCCCTTGCACCTAACACAATTTACACAATCACCCGGATTCTAGTCCTACAGACCCTCTTACATCAAACGAACCTCTAAGCCCACTCTTTCCCCCACTCTATTTCCATCATCATTTCCAAACCTTACTGAACATCCGCACACCAAAAGAGATTCTCTCTTAGTAGCATCAATCCCACTCAAATGATCACTCAGTCCCTTTGTCAACTGTCTCCTGTTCCTCCTCTTCTGTCCTCGCCTTCTCTGTCTCTGGGTCTTCCAGCAGCTGCCAAAGTTGCCACCCTCCCCAGAACAAACAAAAAAGAAAAAGGAGAGCCTCTTAACCTCAAATTTGCCCTTTCCCACTTTCCGTCTTCATTTTCCTCACCGTATACGGTCAGTTCGATAGCATCTCGGACAAGCCCAAAACCTGAGTCCAGCCTCGTCCGGTACCCAGTGGTGATGGTCAGTCAAGCAGCTACACACACACACACACACACACACACACACACACACACGCACACGCACACGCACACGCACACAAAACTGAGGCGCCTACTCCCAACACACAGTTGGCCGCCGCAGCCTCCTTCCATTCATCCTGGGCCCATTCATCTCGCAGCCCGAACCCGGACACGCCCCCCGGCCTCCTCCCTCTTCCACAGGGTCCCGGCCAGTCCCGGACCCTCAGGCAACTACAGGCTCCCACCGACAGAGCCCGACACTTCACTTCTCCCTCGCAGTCTCTCCAGCTTCCTCTGGCCCCCCGACCGGCCACACCACAGAAAACACACATACCACGTATACCTCCTCCTCTATCGCCGCCTCGGATGCTTCTTACACTCCTCCTCGCTGTCTCCAGCTCGTCTCCAAGTCGTGTGCGCGTGCGCGCGTCTCCCCGCGAGCCCACCGGGCCAGCTACCGCGGGTCTGTGAGGAGCAGGCGGGGTGAGGAGAGCGGGGTGAGAGCCCAAGCTCGCGCTCACCCGGGAACTGACCGGGCGCACGCGTACTCCAGCAGAATTCAGAGGGACAGGAGAGGGGCGGAGGGGGGCGGGGAAGGGAGGGGCGGGCAAGAGAGGGGGAGGGGCGGAGAAAGCCAACGGAGCAACCCCCAATCAGAACGGCCCCTATCACAGCGAGGTGCCGAGGGACTGGCCAACGGGAGCACGCGCATGCCTCCCCCGCCCTCCTCAGCGCAGCGGGAGAGGGGTGCGCGTCGAGGAAAGGCTTCTCCCCCGGGCCCCAAGAAAATCTCAGTGAGGAGCTACGCGCGACACCTTCTGCGTGTTCTGAAGCATTCGACCTTACAGACGCTTTACCCTTTCCCTTCAAAAACGAAAAGGAAAAGGAAAAAAAAAAAAAAGGTCCAAGCACACCCCACTTCTTAGCCACCAGCCGCCCACTCTCAGCAAGCCTTAAAATGCAGCAGTTCTACGGAGAACCACCGCCAGTACCTTTTCATCCCACACTCCTTACTCCCTTTTTCCACCTCACGGCTCATCTCGCGAGACCCATACCTGCCGGCTTCGGGATTAAAAGTCGAAGCACAGATTTAGAAATACCTGTCTCTGGGTTATGTTGCGAGGGCAACAGCCAAGGCACGTGCCACCATCCCCCGCCCCCCCCCAGGACCTCAGTGCGCGCGCGCGGGGGCTGGGCAACGACCAAAGCAGAGATGGGAAAGGGAAGCAAAAGGATTTTTGACGGCTTGCTACCACTAGGCTAGGCCTGAGCACGTGCCCCGCGCCTCTCAGGCGAGTGCGGTGTAGCCTGGGAATTGTAGTTTTTATTCCTGCCTCCAGGCCCTCTCCCATCCTCAGCCTTGCTTAGGCCTCTGACCGGGAGGGGGAATACCGACGCCATTTTTGCGGGGAACAATGGCCAATAGCCCTGGCACTGGTGAGTTGGGGGAGGGAGCAATGTTTTAAGAGTTCTGGTAACCTCCCTTGGCCCCTCGGTACCATAGCAACCCCTTCAGAAGCTGGCCCCACCCCCTCGCTGCTCTGCCGGGCTTCTGAACTGAGGGCAAGTGAAAATGCCTCCTTCTCCCAGGGGGTTGGCTCTGTAACCCACTGTCCACTTTCCTGAAAAATTCCGAAGTCTTCTAGGTGTTAATGAATATTGCCTTCTTTGAGCTTCCACTGCATGTTAACTACAGCTCCGCGGCTTTAAGAAGCGCTTCATGTGCTGTATGAGGCACAGTGCAAAATGTTTTCTGTCATGCATCAACACTCCTCCCTTGACAAAGAAGGAAACTGAGGCTCAGGAGGAGAACGCGACATAATTTGTTGAAGTTTACACAACTGTGGTTGAAAGAGGTAAAATTTGAGCCCGATGTGCTTTCTCTAGATCTCAGTTATTTTTCTGTCCCCTAAAATGAGTCTGGTGCCAACACCTGAATAAAAGATCTTCAAGAGCACACCAACCTTACTTGCTAGTATGCTTTGAGGGTAGCAGGCTTTTTGGAAAATACCAGACTATTCCTTTCAAGTGCCCAACCTTGGCCCTATCACTGAGTTATACCAACTTCACCCTTTGTACCACCTTTTTTTTCTGTTATAGACAGACCCTCTCCAACACTTGGAAGATTGCCAAGATTTAAAGGCCAGCCTGGGCTACAGAGAACCTGTTGCAAAATTTAATGAACAAACAGCACTATCAATAATATCAATAAGCTTAACACTGCAGTTTCCAGTCTAAATGGCATGTGACACTGGGAGGGCTTGTAGCCCTGTCTCTTGTCTTTTCCTTCTTTCTTTTTGAAGATCACTCATTAATCCTAGCATTTCCAGAATTTGTAATGAACCCAGGTGATGCCTTTAATAATTCACACCAGGCATGGTGGAGCTTGCCTTTAGTCCCAGCCCCCAGGAGGCAGAGGCAGGCCCATTTCTGTAAGATCAAGGCCAGCCTGGTTTACATAATTCCAAGCCAGCTGCTGGGGCTACAGGGAGACCTGTCTCAAAAAATTAAAACAGAAGGAAACCAAATAATTCAAACCTCCTCTTGCAATTTTGACAGTTGAAGGAGTCACCAGGGTAGCAATAATGTTATGAGGTCCAGCCACTCCACCTGCAATATTTTCCTACCTAGCAGATTTGGAAGAAGAAAGTGTGGCTTCTCCAAATAATATCAACACCTATACCTTATGAGGTTCTGTATTTCCACTTAGCTGAAGAACAGATGGTGTCTCCCATACTTCTTTTCTCACTGCCCCTGAAATAATCTCTTTTCCTTGCTGGGTTATTGACTAGTGTGAGGAAACCATGAGAAGGGTAACCTAACAACGACTAAGCAGCAGTTTCAAAGATTATCAAGTTGTTTCAAATCTTAATCAGTCCTTACTCCTGTGAGGAAGTAACTAGAAATTGGAGCCACCATTTTTGCTTCTCAATGTTCACTTTTTCCTATCACTGCCACACGCATCCATCTTCCAAAAATCAAGGCTCAATTGTGGCCCTGCCTCTCCGCTTTTCTCACTGAGACTAATTATACAATCAACACAAAACTCTATTTGGAAATGTTAGCCCATAAGCCTGCTCAGATGCAAACTCTTCCAAGTAGTCCCTCTTTGACTTTAGTTTCGTGTTAAGCAACTATTAAGCAGTGTGACAAATTTACACCAGCTTTAGAAATTTGAAAATCAGAAGTTTGTTGCCATCCAAGTACAGGTTGATATATGTGCTGTCCAGAACTAAGCACAAAGCCCACCATAAGCAGAAGGGAAAATAAGATTTTAGAGCTAATCACCAGTATATGTTAGGAAACATCCTCTTCCTCCCCACTGGTTTCCACTTTCAAGGATGAACTGTGATGTTCCCACTAATCAAACAGAAAATTTAAATTATATTAACCAAATTTAATTTGACCTTCTATTAGTCCAGAAAAAAATCCTCTCTAATCTAGTTATTTTGAGACATGCTGGTGTCAAGAAATCACAAAAGCTTTTGGTGGAATCATTTTTGGTGTTTTGTTTGGGGGGGGTTGTTGCCTGAGACAAAGTCTCATGTAGCCCAGGCTAGCCCCAAGCTCACTAGATAGCCAAAGTTGACCTTAAATTCCTGATCCTTGTGCCTCTACCTTCCTGGTAGTGAGATTACAAGAATATGTCACCTGGTTCATTGCCTTGCCACAAAGGGAGGAAGATCATTCCACATCTATCACCCCCTCCAAGGCTCAGGGACTTCTGCAGAAGACATTGGTGGAAAGAATGTAAGAGTTGCAAGAAGGGGTGGAGTGTTACCTAGAAGTGTCCTCTGACCATTATGCCAGCAAGCTATAGTCACACTTCCTTCCCACACTCGTCAAGGAGTCAATTAATGAACCTTAGCTGCATGTGGGGGAGGGACTAAGGATGTATAAGCCGAGATCACCATGAGGCACATCTTTTGCCATTTTGTGTGGCTGTCAGGAAGTCACAGGATCTATATTTGAGTGTGGACTTTCCAGTGCAGCTGTAAATGGGGGGGAGCACCCACTCGTCTGTAAATAACCCCACCCTATGCACTCTGTTAGCAAGCCCAATAAACTAGTTAGGATTAAAAAAAAAAAAAAAAAAAGAACAGAGCCAATGGAAACCTTCATTATTCCACCAAAGTTAACCCCATGTTGGCAAATCCTCTGGTCCTTGATTTCTTTTTCCTGTTTTTCCCCCCTAAACTTCATTGTATATATATTTTTATGTAACCAGCTTCAAGTTATTTCTGGGAAAATGTGTTAAAAATTGCCTCTCTTTGGAATAATAAAAATATTCTAAAATTAAAACAAAAAAGAATATGTTACCTGGAATTGGAATCATTTTAGATATCACAGGGTGAGAGCAAGGGGATAGCTCCACAGCCCTACTAGCTATTGCTTTCCTTTCTCGCACGCAAAGTAGTAACCCCTTCTGTTAAAACGATGGAACCAAAGTGAACCTCAGACTTTACAGTTATTGTCTACTCAGTCATGAGTAGAATTATCACTTTTCCTGGAACTATATTTCTAACTCTGTCTCTTCCATTTACAAAGTTCTTATTCATTTTCTTAATTCAGGTGATGGCAAAGCTTGGGGCTCTTAGGAGGTATTCAGATATGGATGTAGAAAGTGGGGTTGGAGTAAGAGTTATATTGCCACTAGTTCCTTAGGTCCTAGCACTGAGCCCTCTGCCCCTATGGGTCCTTTCAAGTGCTGGGGTGCTTTCCAAAGTCCCAGACACACTTAAGGCATAGAATTATTTGCCAAAATCACATATTGATCTGTCTACCAAGACCTTAGACACAGTCCTTCCTATCTTGAGTCTTACCACCAACCAAATATTGCTCTGGTGAAATTGAGCCAAGCCTACACTGCTTGGGCTCCCACAGGGCCTTCTTTGCTCTTCCCCCAAGAAGGCTTACACAATCTTTTAGGCTTACATGAATCTTTCTTCTTTTTAGTTTCCTGGACTGAAGACTTGGTCTCTGCCCTTGTACCTTAATCCCTGTTTCCTTAGGGTCTGTGCTTTTAGAACACAAAAGCTAGAAAAATTGGCTTCATATTTGTTTTCCTGCCTTGCTAGCGTTATCCCTTGAGGTATCACAAAACAGACTATAGTGGGGGTAGAGGAAAATACAGGAAAGAAAAATCTATATCTCAAAATAATTTTGAGCCACATATACTTTCTATTAGTAGCTGCGTAAAAGAAAATGAAATTAATTTCTTATCCAGGCACTTGCTGGTCAAGACAGTAACTGTAAGGGCATGGATTCCTATGTGGTCTTTTCTCCAAGCAAACCCTAGGATTGGAAATATTTTTATTTTATTAATAATTTGAATTTATGTGTATGAGTATCTTGCCTGCATGAGTAAGTGCACCCATGACATGCAACACCTGCAGAGGTCAGAAGAGGGTATCATATTCCCTGGAACTGAAGTTACATACAGTTGCTAGCCACCATGTCGATGTTGGGAAC